TCTCTCTCTCTCTCTCTCTCTCTCTCTCTCTCTCTCTCTCTCTCTCTCTCTCTCTCTCTCTCTCTCTCTCGTGCGCGCACACGCGCTCCCTCTTGCTGTTTCTGTGACTATGGCTCTCTTTTTCTGACTTTCTGTCCGACTTTTTCTCTGCCTTACACACAGAGGAGCATAGAGAAATGGAATGATCTGACACACCTCGGAAGCGTGAGGTTCGCGATGTGCATTATTTTGTGGAAATAGGTGGTGGTCCAGTCACACCTGCCATCCGGACCCCTTGTTCACTCCCCAGCCATTCCTCCTAGAACCGTTTGATTGCGTGTTCCATGTCTTTCTTTTCATCACAAAGGTCCAGTTTTGGTTTCACTTTTATCCATTGTTATGTTGTTATGTCCAGTTGAATTTGCTGTTTGATGGTGTCTGCCATTTCCTCTCCTAAGATGCGCACATCCTGCATTACATGTGTACATCTCTTCTGCCACAGTGCCCAGAGAACCCCTCTCCCCCCCACTTTTTAAACATAGTTTCTTCAAATGTGTTGTCTTTCGGGGAACTCCATTCCCCACACAGCAGTACTCTCCAATCCCCATGCGCAGGTGCACTCAGTGCCCAGTGGCTAACCAGGCCCATCGTTGTTGTGACCTGTGTTACCAGCCGGGCGGCCTGGGTTGGCTCGGATTGGCCCGGGTGGCCCGACCGGGGCACGTCCGGGCAAAGTCCTGGTGAATGTCCTGGACAGTCCCAGCGCAAAAAAAAAAAAAAAAAAAAAAAAAAAAAAAAAAAAAAAAAAAAAAAAAGAAAAGAAAAAAAAACTGAAAAAGAACTATGTCGTAGTGGGGGATTGCAAACGAAACTTTTTTTTTTTTTTTTTAAACGAAACATCGTTTCCCTGAGGGTGACCACGAATAGACTGCGGCGCACTTAGTGCCAACCAGCGGTGATAGTCCACTTGATACCTCTTATCGGTATAAGTGGGGCCCTTGGCCAACACGGGTGTGAGTGCGAGTGTGAGTGGGTTGGGTGTGGTGTGTGGGAGAGTGTTGGCCTTAGACACTGCTGTTATTCGGTTGGGGGTGGGGGACTATGAAAACGGAGGCGCAACAGCTACTGGCAAAATGCGCGGTATTTGCGTTAGCCAGACCCCCACCGGCCCCCCCACCCCATCCTTGACCACCACGGTTGGGGAGGGGGCCAACATGCATCCCCTCTGATGAGGGGCTGGAGGGAGACAACAGAGCTATGTTCGCAGGGGTCCCCTGTATAAGCCTTAGGAGTAGTGGTAGGTAGGTAGTGAAGGTGAATTGGAAGAATTTGAAAGATGATGAAAGATTTGAGAGAAGAATATAGCCTAGTTCAAAAAAAAAAAAAATATATATTTTTTTAAATCGCTATGGAATCCGAAATTAATAGAAACTAAATTATGTCATATGGATTCACATACCCCTTTACACCTCTTTAAGCCCCTTTGAGCCCTTTCGAACCCCGCTTATACCCCATAGAAACCCTTTGGTGAGATATCACCAAACTCAAAGATAAGGCCAGATTTGGGCACGTCTCAGAGGGCACAAAATTGCCCCACTGCCCCCCCCCCAAAAAAAAATAATAATAATAAAAAAAAATTAAAAAGCCTCTTTTTGGTGTCGTGTCGCCTGGGTACCCCGCACGTGGTTCAACCCCCCGTGCAAGTTCGCCCAGCTCGCCGGGGCGGACAACTGGGGTAACATAGGTTGTGACGCTTTTTGTCCTGGTCGTGTCTTGGATTTGGATGGTGTGGAAGTGCAGGAACCCTAAGCATGCAGATGTTTTTGCGTCTGCGTCTGGAGATTGCACGGCTCGAGTATGGGATGTCCGAGACGAGAGGTCGTCGCTTGTCATTCCAGCGCACAAGTTCGAGATCCTTTCTTGTGACTGGAACAAGTACAACGACTGTGTTTTGGTCACTGGCTCCGTGGATAAGACGATCAAGGTGTGGGACATAAGGAACCTGGCGCAGGAGATGACGATGCTGCAAGGTCACACATACGCCGTAAGGAGGGTGAAGTGTTCGCCACACCGGGAGAATCTCATCGCGTCTTGTTCGTACGATATGACAATGTGTCTTTGGGACTTCTGGGCAACCGAGGACGCCCTCATTGCAAGATACGATCATCACACCGAATTTGCGGTTGGAATTGATATGAGTACGCTTGTGCAGGGTCTGCTTGCAAGCACGGCATGGGACGAAACGGTCTATGTGTGGCAGGAAGGCACTGACCCAAGAGCTGCCTGAGTGGGACCAAAATGGGACCAAGAATGGGACCAAGAATGGGACCAAGAATGGGACCATTCAGTGAATTAGGTAATGTAGAAGAGCATGTGAGTAGATCAGTTAGGACACTCGTTTTTTTAATTATCAGTGAGTCCTTCTGACAAGGAGCATGACTCATCAGTAGGAGGGTAGGTTGTCCTGTCGTTGCGACTCCTTTTTCTTTATCGATGATACCATTCTGTGAATTCACCGATAGATTTGGTTCTTATGCTTGTACATGTGTAATTCTTCTTCTTGTGCAAAACACCAATCAATCTGCAAGGAAATGCCACATTGCTTTTTTGGCCTTTGACTATTTGCTGTATTCGGTCTTCCGTCCTGGGTCTTCTTTTGATTGCAAGCTCCTTTAGCTTCTTGGTCCAATGATTCTTTTCTGGTCCCTTGGTTCCTGTGTTTTTTTTTGGGTTGCCCCGGTTCTTTGGTCCCTTAGTTCCCTTTCCCTTTTCCCTTTTTGTCCCTCGTTCGCTTGTCTTTTCTGGTTTGTTCGGTTTCTTTGGTTCCTTGATTCCTATAGTAGTTCTTCTGGTCCCTCGGTCGCTCGTTGTTTTTGGATCCGTACAGTTCCGGTGGTACCTTGGTTCTTTTTTTGGGCCCATTGGTCCCTTAGTTCTCTTCTTGTGGTTCCTTGGCCACTCGGTCTTTTTTTTTTCCGGTTTGTACTGTGCCTCTGGTCCCTTGTTCCCTTTGTTCATTTAGTCCCTTTGGTTGGTCCCTTGGTTCTTTTCGTTCCTTTGGTTGGTCGCTTGCTTCTTTTTGTCCCTTTGGTTGGTCCCTTGGTTCTTTTTGTCCCATCGGTCGGTCCCTTGGTACTTCTACCCCCTTTTTGTTGGTCCCACAATTTTTTTAGTCCCTCTTGTTACTCCCTTGGTTTCTATGGTCCCAAGAGCACTGTTGTTTCCATGCGAAGAGAGTTGTATGATGTTTGGAAATATTGTTCCCTTGAGTAAAACAATAATAAAAAAATGAAAAATTGTTTTCTTGAATATCATATACTTAGATGGTATTATTAATTTATTACTGAATACTAGTGAATAGCATTACTTGGTGCATGTTTGTTTAAATTGTTTCAACTTGTTTTAACTTGTTTGGTATTTTGACCCTTGCTCCGTGTTCTTTTCGTTCCGTTGGTTCCTCGGTCCCTTGCACCTTTTCGGTTCCTTGGTCCCTTGGTTCTTTTGGTTCCTTGTTCCTTTGTTGGAAGTCCCATCATAATAACAGTCTTCTTTCATGTAAATGAATCTCTTCGAATATGCAAAAAATTGTGCGCTCTTGAGTTGCATTCCTTGGTCCCAGGTTATTTGGTCCTTTCCTTTGGTCCATAGATCCTCCGTTCCTGGAGCTTGGTCCATGGGACTTAGTTGTGTCCCGTCTGTCCCTGGCCTGGTCCTTTGGTCCCTGAATCCTTGGTGTCATTTGGACTGTTGCACCAGCAGTCCCTTAGTTATCAATGATCCTCCGGTCCTTTCTCCGATAATGATTGGTCACCTGGGACCTTGATCATTCGCTTTTGTCCCCGAGTTGTTGGGCCATTTTGTCTGTTGATTTATTGCTCCTGTGGCCCCTTGGGGCTCTGGGCCCAGTGGTTCCTCAGTCGTCAACAGTCCCCGCTGATGCGATCACCAAATGATCTTATTTGAGACTCGGAGGTTGCCACAATTGAACTGTGAACCGCGGGTCCATTTCTCCCAACTATTTTGTTCCCAGGCAGACTGAGGCAGTGGTTAACCCGCCGTGAAACGGCCGGTTTTCCCCAGGCAAGTCGTGTGCCGTGCCGGTCGCAGCGAAAATCTGCGTCTCGGGAAAAAGAGGCTCCAACGGACTGATGGTTTAAACCACACGAGTACGCTACGGGCCTAGCCACGCTTCACCTGCAAGCATGGGGACTGCGCAAAGTATCAGTCCGCGGCACCCAAGAGGGGGTAGCATGGGGGTTGACGTAATTCTGAGTGACCCACAGGGCCCACACAACTGGGTAATTTTTAATTCCCAATGCCGACGTCGAAAAAATGCGAAGTAGGTTCTGTGATGTCAGGGGAAACCATCAGAAAAGCTGAGAAACTGAATGCAACTTAGTAATCGATTAAAAACTTGTGCCCACGGGAAATAATTTTGCGCAAACCGAATGCATCTAGTTGGCCCTCCTTGCAGTGACTCGGTTAAACCACAACTCCATCCGACAGCCGGAAAATGCCACTCTGGTGAGTCGGGACCGGTTTTTTAGGGAAAGGTGGGGGAGGGGGTGTCGACCGGCAGGCGCAGGCGGGTCCAGTCCAACCATTTTCAAGCGCCAACTTTGGCGATTGTTTGTGTGCAGAAAAAATGTCAAAAAAATCTGGAAATTTGCTAGGTTACTTGATCGGATGTCTGGGACCCCCCTGACCGTCCGGGGTTGTCCGGTCAGACAACTGGTTGGACATCCTCACCGGGCAGTCTGTCCGAGCCCAAACACCCCCCCCAAAAAAAGAACTCAAAAAAATCCGAAAAAAACTTTTTTTTTTTTTTTAATCCCCGGGGTGGATGCTAGAGGTGTTGATAAGAGCAGGCACCCCGAGCATTCTCGGGAGGCTCCATTTGTTGGTGGGGAGCAGCACCTGCTGGAAACCGGGTCCAGCGTCCCTGGACATTGACATCATTCTTGGTATACAGAGATAGAGTTGCTCTCCTGCAGATCTGCTATCACGACATACCCCGGAGCTGTACTTACTCTCCTGCTGGACTACCGTTTGAAGATCCCTGAACAGCTGAAATCACTCCCATCCTGCTAGCATTGATTACCCTGAAACCAGGGGATTGACCGTGTAGGTAAAACCTACACCACTCCATATCACCGTAGATCCACGGCGGAGAGGCCATGGGGTGGAAAGGGATCGGGGAAATCAGAAGGAGGACGCAGAGGAACCGCAGCATCTACCTTGGTCCAGTCGTTAAAGCAGATACCATAGCCCCTTTTGAGATCGTCGCCACCCCCTTCCGGGGACTGTCCTCCCTCCCAACGAGTGCGGGCTATCCTGCCTTCCCTCCCCAGCCATTCCTTGGAAAACTTTTTGATGGCTTGCATTGTCTGTTTTCGTTTGAAATAGATCTAGTTTTGCTTTCACACTTTGCCACTGTGCCATGATTTCTTCCTGAATATATTGCTTAACCATTTCCGTGACCTCTTCCCCCTCTATTCTGACTCCTTGAATCATGTGTGCACCTTTTCCGCCAAATGGCCCAAATGACAGCTCTCCTCCACGTCCTGAAAATATTATTTTCAAAGGGACAGTCTGTGGGAGAAGACCAGGCTTCACATAAGAGGGCTCTCCAGTCCCATGGCCATGTGGATGTAGTGCCGAGTTGTCGCCAGATCCTGTCGCACCAGCGCCATGTCAGAATCGCCCCCGGGCACTGCAGAAAGATGTGCTCTATGGTTTCAGCGATCTTACGGTGAGGAAAGGAGGCCAAACAGGAGTGATACCATGGCAGCGCTAAGCCCTTTTGTTCTAGGTAGGTTAGATCTATTAGCCAATTATTTGTAGGGAGGCAGTGGTGCTCTATCTGCCACTGCAGCGAGGCCAGTTTCGTCGGCTTGGACCTCGTGGCCTTAAACCATCGGATGGGTCGAACTGCGTCCTCTCCCACATTCAGATGGGTTAGCCATCACTCTCTCACAATGTCTTCCACATTTATCCTTGGTCTCCGGAGGCGGTAGGCAGATTTCACTGACAAGGTGAATAAAGTCTTGTTTACCCCCGTTTTACTTGCCGGATTCAATTGCCATTCCTCCGGATCGAAAGAGAGTTTAGCAAGCGGGTTTTCAGGAAGGAAAGTGAACCAGTCCTGCGAATGGAGTACTCGGATGCGGTGCTAATTTGTCCTTTTCCACCATCTCAACACATCAGGTTGATACATCTTTAACCTATTGTCATCTTCCCAATGAAAGAGATTCACCAGTGCTTCCTGTGTGTATACCACCACCACATTTCCCACGCTTTCTGGATCACGCGGGATAACCACCCAGTCTCTGTCTTGTAGACATGGTCCTTTGCGCAGGATGCGCACCCAATCCAGGGGTACGAAAAAGATCAATTCTTCCAAGTTCTTCCTCATGTGGTGACAATGTTTTAGAAGAGGTTTCAACTTTTGTTCTGTTTGCCAGTTCTTTTCCTCCACGTTCCATATGTTCCTAATTCTTATCACCCCCCTTTTGACCCAGCTGTTTGGGATTTGGAGGGGCGGGGAATGGATCAGAAATGGTCTTCAAGCGAGGTCAGCGGGTTGACCTCACGAGGGGTCTGGGGGTCAATCGTGCAATTTGTATAAGAGCCAAGGCCGACCACGGGAGATGGGGGGTGAATAGCAACCGCCTGATCCATTGGACCATCAATGTCGTGACCTGAATAACCGGGTTCATAATTCCTAGACCCCTTTTGTCTCTCGGCTGGATAACGACTGACCATGTGACTCTAGTGATCACATTAGAGAGAGTGTTGTCCCCCCTCCAGAGCAGCACATTAACCTATCTCTTCAATGCTTTGACAACCTCTTTGCTAAGGGCCCGTATCGCAGATTTGTACCACAGTGATGTCAATACAACATTGTTGATGACCAAGGTTCTACCCATCAGCGATGTCCGCTTGTCATTGCAGTGGGCGATCTTTTCCAGCGTGGACTTCAAGATCCAGTCATCGTTTGAGGCCGGCCTGCCAAAGGCTGCCATCATGATGCCCAAAACCCGGATCGGAGCCTTTGTGGGTAGCCATTTAACCTGCGGCTGCTCGGGAGGGCGCACCCCCCGGTGGTGAATCCACCACCCTAATTAACTGTCGTGTCGGACACGGCTGTGAACCACTCTATGACGTTTCTGATCTCTTCCATATTTGTAGGAGAAGCATCCACCAAGAATGGATCTTCCGTTCAAACAAACGAGTGTTACGTTGCGAGCTCGCAGGGAGCGAACCGGCCGGCGGGTCCGGCGGTCTTGTCAACCAACGTCTCGGTGGCCGCGAGGGGGACTGGCGGCGTTGACGCCATCGCTGTGGAAAATTTACGTCAAACTTCGTGTCTGCAGGAGGTCTGACGAGGGTGGAATGGACAGCGATAAGGGTAGGACGAGTAAATCCTGTAGTCAGCATGCAGATGGCGTCCTTGTGAATGACGCTCTATCGGATGAAAGGTACGACAGGGGGACGAAAACGACTTCGACAACAAATCTACAACAAGCGGCGGCGAATTGGATCTACAAGTTGAAGGAGGGGCAGCGTCGTCTGAGGGAGATGGTGACTCTTG